AGAGGATCGCAGGACTACAGCGAAGCAAACGATAAGTCCTTATTTTCGTATTTAAAGTATTAACTATTTTACTATCCTTATCATCATAATTGTTACGTTGATATCCCCACCAACTTTTTAACGGGACTTGTAAAGCAACGCTTCTTAACCCGTATAAATTCGTTGTTCATTGTTCATTGTTAACATGCCTGTAAAGCAGCCTAGGATTGCAGCAGACCTTTTTCTCCGAATTCGTATTGGGTTTCAAGTTATCTTCGATTGTCAGTTTGACACAGATGTTTTGCTCAGTTATGAATGCATTCCAGTTTCCAAAGTTTGGATTGGATTCCTATGCTTTTCAAAATGACTCTCTCAGCACCATACATTTCTGCGTTCTGCTCCTCAGGAAGCACTTCAATCATTTTTTGCTAATGATCTTTGGTACATTTGCTACTAAAGTGTTGAACTGATTGATGAACTTCCCTAAGCGAGCTGAGGTAGTAGTTCCGCGATAAATGGCCAATCAGTGATCCTGGTGAGGTCGGATAAAATGTTGTGATGTGTTACAATGCGGAGCTCTTCGATTTCCTGTTGTAATGTTCTGCGTAGCAGAAATGCGGTGCTGCACTATCACTGAGCCACTGGGTGTTTCTCAATGCCCTTGTGTCTACCCTAAGTTTCCAACTGGTGTACATGAGGTCCAAAAGGTCTGGCTTATTTCCCGTTCTAACTCTAATAGGGGAAGGAACTTGATGATGGAGTGGTAGGACAGCGACTATTTCATGTGGTTTGGCCTTAAACTTCTCGCAAGGGGAGGCCAGAACATCTAGTGCTTGTAAGTTGTAATTCCCTACAAGGAAAAGTGATGGTTAGGCTGAGTCAGAACTGCTTTCAGTGCAGAAGTTATACAGTTGTCCGTTTCCAGAATTGATAGGGGAGGAGGGTGTACGAGGACAATTAAACATCTATCACTACGTCTTAGTTGCAGGCGGCACCAAAGTGAGTCCACAGCTTGAAGCTCTGGATCGTCAAAGACTTAGAAACATAGGTCACCTCGGTAATAAAATATCATGCCACCTTCCCTAATGGAAAAACCTTAACGTGGGACGGACTTACCGGGCATAGCGATGTCCACCTTCGTGGTTTCATCCCTCATCCAGATCTCAGTTATCATTAGCAAGCATCGAGGTTTGGCTAGATTGAGGTTCGGATATTCTGTTAAAGAGACCCTGAGAATAAAGGTGAGTGCTTCGAAAGTTAGTAGTGTGTCTGAGGGTGTGAATGACAAGTTCGAGCGTTTACTGACCCTTGCGTGGTCGGCAACTAATCGTATTTTGGTGAACGGCTGACGTTGAATTTTGCGTCGCTTCATATTGGCTGGTAGAATGATCACAGAATGAAGTCCCGGTTTTAGTAACTATTGGGAGAGTCGCTGCCGCTTCAACAGTAGTTTGTGCCCCGCACTGGTCTGCTTCGCAACTAAGACTTGCTGGAGTCACCGTGAGATCCTGGTGACTTTGCTGTCTCTCTCACAATCATCTGGGGTCTGGTGTTGAACGTTTTTATTCGTAGATCGTTGGGCAGCTCCTTACGCCAAATTTCAAGTACACAATCCGCCATGGGTTTGGACTGAAACGCAACTCTCATCATGCTGGGACCACGCCCATCGTAGTTTGGTGATGAATTTAGTCTTATGATCACTTTGAAGATCATCTTTCCGAGTGCGAGCGCAAGACAAATGTAGCGCCCGTTCCTCCAAATCACGGGCTTGAGCTTCACGTACACCGGACCCTTGAAGCTCCGGTACACCATGAATATAGACGGAATACTTGTCGTTGTTCCGATTGTAGTAGTCATCCTGTGCTTTTGCTGCGGTCTGTGCTTACGGTGTCCGTGTGAAGTATCGCATTGATTGTGGGTTGCGAAACACGGACACTGTACGAGAAGGATGTTCGGTATGTGGAACGATTTAACCAGTAGTGCACGCGTCTGCTTCTACGCATCCGATGGTTTGAAAGAATTCCTGATACGGAGGTGCTTCACCGGATGGGCATATACGGGATGGATTGTATGCGCTTACTATAACACTTGAGTTGCTTGGAACATGTCCGCCGTATGGACGCGGTTAGAATACCGAAACACTTGCCATATAAGCAAATAAAAAATGTGAGAAAACCGAACCAATGTTAGGAGAAAGTTGCACTTATCCCCAACTACTATTGAGAAGCAATGTCAGTGGATCGCCGCCAACGGTGCAGCCATATCATGAATGCCGCGTTCCAGGCTCATGTGAACTTACTATTGCATCGGGAAGAAGAGCGCCGATTGCACAAGCGTCAGGTATCATCGGTGCTTGGCCTGTCTACATCATGCAGATAGTGCTGTGGCACTTGATGTTGTCTGTGCCTCATCCGAGCCGGTTTTATACATCATAATGTGCCATGTGGGGCCGATGGCAATGCGGCGGCGGGCAAGTTAAATGAGGAATTTTTAACACATGGTAAGTGCACTGCTTTTACTTTCAATTACTAACTCAAACCAGTTATGTGGTAGCTGTGGCGTATGTGCCTCAGCATTGTTACAGTTGGTCCGTACCTGTATCTGCGTGTTGCGTTTCTTTCATTTCAGGTGTTTGTTGTTGATCGATATTCCCGGTAAGGCTGTGCTTGATATGAATTTTGACAAGGTGCTTGTCTGTAGGTAACGTCACCTCGGTTACCAGTTTCAGGAGACTGTTGGTCGTTGCCGTGGAACGGAGTTCACAGTACTCCTGGCGGTGCTAGGCTCAGAGATTAGTTCCACCCAGTGTGGAACAGAGTACGGTCCAGCTGCCATCCTACGTACATCCGCTATATATGTTCTTCATGTACTATTAATTGATATGCATGTTTGAACATCCTTTTGAAATACTCGTTGTGTGTATGGATTGCGACTCGCAACCTCTATGCAGACGGCGATTCGTATTGAAGTGAACCCGTGTCAACTCGATCACGTGAAACGCGAAGGATGAAAGAGATGCATTTCGGTGTTGCTCGCCTGAAAACTACTGTGTTTCCCAGTCCTTTTTACATTGTATATGGGCTGTGTGGATTCGAATGTTGATGGTGGACGTTGTCTTGCAAAATCGCGCGATATGGACATTGAAATACTAACTGATAGAAGATTGATTGATCTGGATTATGTGGACCGCACCGTCTTGATGTTCGACAGTCACGAGGAGGGACAGTCAATGCGGAATGGACTCAATGGAAAGCTCCCTTATTTGGTATGCCTTCTGTACCTTCAAAGTGCGACTTCATGTCTGTTTACGAATAAGATGTACAAATAGTTCATCCATTCACCTCCCTTGTCAGGTCGTTAGCGGTGATAAGCAGCTAGCTGCCGAAGTTGGTTCATACAGTAGGAACGCTAAACTCGCATTATTGTGCGTGCAACACTTGTGGTGAGCTAAAGGGGTTCTCCTCATTCTGGAATGTCAAGTACATCTGGCTACAATGAGCATCGTCCTACTCTAACTCAGCAAGGCTTGGCCCCTCCAGTATTAAGATCTGAGGCGTCCTAAATCTTTAACCATCCTTAATTACGGAACATTGCTGGTATCGGAGAACACCTGTGTACCCACAAAGATGACGTGCACAGGTGAATATTAGGCGGAAATAATGAGGTTAGTTCTTTGAAAACCCCATTAATTTTAAACCCGTTGCGTTTGTTTGGGCGTCTGCTATGCATGGCCGACCACAGCTTAGCGAGTGTGATGGTAGTATCAGATCAGCATGAGCAGATGGACCAATTGAGCGCGCCAGACAGCCAATGGGAGACGGACGTGACCGATCCGATCACTGGACTCGCTTTGGTCGATATTCGTGTGAGTGATTCATCGTTTGTTTAACTGAAGCAAAGGAGGAACTTCATCGACTCAGAAGAGTCGTTAGTTATGAAATTGAACCTGCAATTTTTATAGAGAAGTTTGGCTTGCTAAACATGCTGTAATTTTCGCTGAGCTGTCTTTGCCGAATAAACGCTTGTCCCTGAAGGACTGAGTTCTGTAACAGCGAGGACAGCATCGCTTTGTTTGACGGATGTTGGATGACTCAAGGCTCGAGATGGGTAAAAATTAAATTTGCAACACGAATTTAAATCAATGGCGTTTAAACCAGGTGCTATTGGTCCAACTCGCCTTCCAGGCTGGAGTCCCCGTAAATCACCCGGTGCTTGGCTCGAGACCTTACAGGACATGGCTCGAAATCGACACCAGTGGCTCATCTTCTGTTGTTTCCTAGCCAGATTGCTTATTTAGTGTGTTTAGTGCTGAGTTGTCTCTAGGATAATGACGAATTAAGACGCGAGGCAGGGAAAGCCGCAGGGAAGCTGTCTCATCGATGTCACCTTATCTTAACACGATAGCCAGCTGGTGGCGAGCGTGTACTGTTGACAAGGTGTAGGCACCTTAACCTTTTATGTGTGCTAATAGCATTTAGGTCTTCAGTAAGCCCCAGTTCTTTTCCTCTTGTTGTTCCTCATTATCTATATTATTGTGGTTGTACAGTAGCGAAATGCTAGTTCACATTATCTATACATTACCCTTGTCGATTATCACTAGTATTATTACTGTTATTACTGTTATTAATATTTCTGCAGCTTTGTGCTCAACTCATTGCACACAGATACACCACACTGGTACTGTTTACTCAAGTTAGTATGGACATACACTGGTCTTGCAGTTTTCTGACTTTCCTAGGAACTAGCAGTGTCCGTCATCGCTAAATTAGCTGCAACTCCTTTTACTGATTCACCTATTTTTGGTACAATTATCCACCCCATGCCGCTAATCACAGCACCTGGTCCCTTTGCAGAAATGATGACGGATACTCATTTATTTCATGTAATTCTACTTCATGATCATATCCCTCATTTCGTATTAAATGTGTTCCCCTTTACAGTCACATGTAGTGATCGTAGCTCGATCTTACTGTAATAATTGTCCGGTATCTTTGCTTCCCCTCAACCCCTCATAATTCTAGCATTAACCAGTTGTTACAGAAGCACAGAGGCGAAGCTGATAAAGAGGCAGAACGGCGGGAGCAGTTGCACGAAAACGTCGCTGAAGTCAGCCGCTTGCTAGTCCAATGCAAGGCTGCAGTGGATCACATTCACGATAAGCTGACCTCCTTGAATGTAGGCATACTTGCTCCTGAGAAGCCCGCTGACAGCAGCACGGAAGGACAGTTGCCGGAGATGTTAAAGCAGTGCAATGTCCGCTTAGATGAGCTGATGAACAGTTTACAGGATGTCAGTGTGGACGAACAGCTTCAGTTAATGGAGGAGGAAGAGGTAGGTCTATTTCCTACTTGTATGCATGTGTTGTGCGTGTCATATTGGGTGAAACTAATCCTCCTGGGGTGCTTCACTACGGGACTACTTTGGCTGCTGCGCAACGCATAGAGTGCGATCCCGATTAGTCAATATTGGATCTTGCATTTCCTATGCCCTATGGTTTATGGTGGCATTGTAATCAGTTTGATATACGCAGATCCGGAAGCGATCCGGAAGTGATGGATAAATTGATGGGAGCACACATTTGCAAATGGCACTTTCTCTACCGGTTACTTATTTTAGGGTACAGTACCGTTTCATCTCCCTAGCTATTGCAGAAATACCTTATGCTTATCATACTTGTGACCGTAATAATAGGATGGACTCTGGCATATACATATTGCACATAACTGCTATGAACAATGAATAGCAATGCAAATCACTGAGTTTCTTCGCACTCGCAGTCCGGACTGGCCAAACCACTACCTTCCATGGTCAAGCAATTGAGGGATCTCTGTCGTCCCACCTACCAGGTTTGTTGAATTCCCCACCCCGCGGCAGCTGTTGTAACCGGACAGTAAACTAGTGGTTTCCGTTGCTAAGGTAACGACGTGCATGGTAGTCACATGTTATTCCTTTCACTTTTGGAAACTTCTCCTGCATGATTATATATATATATATATATATATATATATATATATATATATATATATATATATATATATATATATGAACAATGATTTATGTCGAGTAAAATGGCAGTTGCTTGACATGTCCCGCAGATTGGTGATGGTAAAACTACAATTATCAAAAGATAGGTGAGTTGTCTGTTTGAGCGTTTATCTAGCAGATACGCTGCAGCATAATAGTAGTGTAAGTGAGACTTGTATGCGTAGGAGGTGAAAAAATACTCCGTGCGAGAATACTCACTTCTGTACCGCATCCTCTGGTTCATGTAACATGCTAATCCGGTTTGGCGGGATAATTAATAGATTCTAACGTTGCGAAGTTTAGGCAACGAAGTGATGAGAGCAAAGGGCAAGATTCAATCGTGTTTTGAAAATATCCATGGTGGGGAAGAAAGCAACGACATTTGGGAGAGAGGTCCAGCGTTGGCAAACCCGAGGAGAAAAATAATTCCGCCGTCCTTCTAGGCGGCTATACTTTGCACACAATTTTAGAGGGTTACCTCTGATATTGGTGTTATGGCTTTCAGCTATTGACGGCACACGTGATTAGGGTCACACCATATTTGGCAGACTAATATGAGATCGCCGCGCAGCCTTCGGTAGCGGCCACTGAAAACTCCCAGTGACTTCAGCCTTTGATAGTAGGACAGATTTAGTAGGCCCTTGAGGTTCTTTGTGGCCCTGCGTTGGGGTTTCTCTAGCACTTCTAAGTCGCCCTTCAACCGAGGTTGCCAAGCACGGATAGCGTATTCAACCTGAAGGCGCACGTAAGAATTGTGCATCATGCGGAAGATTGATGGGTCGAATGTTCCGAATGCTCTCCGCAGCAACCGGACGTGCTGGTTGGCTCTCTTTGCAATTGCCTGTGACTGCTTTGAACAGTTAAAGTCACTTTGAATGAGCACATCAAAGTCGCCTTCTTCGGAAGGTGGTTACAATACATGTGACTTAAACCTATACACATAGTTATGTCTATGGCGCAATTGAACAACGTGACGTTTTTCCACATTGAACGGTAGTGTCTTCTGAACTGACCAGTTCGAAATCGTGTTAAGGTCACACTGGAGCTTTCGTGGTCGTTCAGTTCTTTGATCGCTCGCCATAACTTGATATCATCAGCAAAGAAGAGGAAATCGGA